GTCAGGAGTTCAAGACCAGCCTGGCCAACATGATGAAACCCTGTCTCTACTAAAAATACAAAAAATTTAGCTGGCCATGGTGGCGCACACCTGCACCCCCAGCTCTTAGGGAGGCTGAGATAGGAGAATTGCTTGCACCCAGGAGACGAAGGTTGCAGTGAGCTGAGATTGCATCACTGCACTCCAACCTGGGCAACAGAGTGAGACTCTATCTTAAAAAAAAAAAAAAAAAAAAAAGAAATGTCATAATGCAATTGATCCTAATATATTACCATAACTATGTTTATAAGAAACCTAGGTTATTTAAAAACACATTATAAAAACAATAATTTAAATAGAATAATTTAAATAAAAAATTTAGATTTAAATCATTTTTTCTACAGAATTCTCACTAATGAAGACAGCAGAGAGCCATTACAGTTTATAACCATGAAACCTAAACATTACTGAGGGATTCCAGCAACAGATTACAATTAGCTTTGCTAACCAATCACCAATCCAATCCTATCACTAATAATAGTTACATATCACAATGCCTATATTAGTCCATTTTCACAGTGCTAATAAAGACATACCCAAGACTGGGTAATTTATAAAGGAAAGAGGTTTAATTGACTCACAGTTCAGCATGGCTGGGGAAGCCTCAGGAAACTTACAATCATGGTGGAAGGAGAAGCAAACATGTCCTTCTTCATGTGGCAGCAGCCAAGAAGAGCTAAGCCAAAGACGAAAACCCCATATAAAACCATCAGATCTCGTTAGAACTCACTGACTATCATGAGTACAGCAGCATGGGGTAACCACCCCTATGATTCAATTACCTCTCACTGGGTCCTTCCCACGACATGTGAGGATTATGGAAACTACAATTCAAGATGGGATTTGGGTGGGGACAGAGCCAAACCATATCAATGTCTCATACGTATTCTTATTACCATTATCATCCACTGTTGTGATAAATTACACCACTAGAAATAAGTAGATATATTATAATGCAAGTGTGCTTGTTTTGTTGTTTCCATGAATACTTGGTGCTAGATCTCTACTGAACTAGATTTATGACCAAGGTGTTTTGTGAATCTAAAATATGTTCCTCACTTAATATTTTTTTAAAAGAACATTCCCTGTAGAAAACATTTCTATAAAAAAGGAGTGGAGGTAATCATGAACATCAAATAAAACAATGAGTTAAGGATAAATAATGGTGAAACTATGATTAAGGATGATAGTGGTAATACATACTGAATTCTTACTATGTGTTAGACAGTGTTCTAGTACTGTCCTAGGTTCCTTACCTGTATTATTTCATTTAATTCAAATAGCAACCCCATGAAGTTTATGTTTTCATTTTATAGATGTGGAAGTTAACAAAGTCACACAGCTAATGAGTAGTGGACATCAAATTCAAACGCAAGGAATCTAATTCCAAAGACCACCCTGATCATTAAACATGCTCCCTCGAAGCAAAACTTGATATCTTGATAATTTGAAAAATGAAGAATGAAATATAGATTCATTAAGCTGAATACAACCACCAACATAATTTAATACTTTTACTTTGCATGTCATGCCAAAAGATGAAAGCAAACAAGTCATTGTTTATATAAAAAAAAGAAAATAAAGGAAACAGGACAAATAAGCTAGCCTCCCCTACCAATAAAAATAAAATAATTCTGTTGAGAAGTCTTCTTCTAACTCTGATCCATCTGTCCAGTGGAACAGTAGTACCAAAAGGTGTTCAGAGACCTCCAGAGAGCTATGTCTGTCCCTGAAACTGGGAGTCATAACTCTGGAGTCACAGAAGCATGGAGGCAGACAGCTTTTCCCTGGCGACTCAGCTCAGTATTTTCACTGACTACTCAGTGTGACATTTCACCAGAGCACAGACTGCTGAATCTTCCATCAGATCTGTTTGTCACTGTTTAGTAGACCCAAGTGGCTTTATGTGAACCCCAAGGTTAATCAAATTATGAGTAGATAAAAGTAAATGTTGACATGCATAAGGGGACCCAAAACTCAAAAATAAGAATAGCAAGTAGAGTACCTAGACTAGAGAAACCTCCAAAGAAACAGAATTGCTGATTGAGACAGATGATAATATTAGCAAAAACAATAACAATAGTATGCACACTTAATGAGTTCCTATAACAAAATATAATTCCTTATTTTTATGTTAAAAGTATCAATAAACTAAAAATGGGATGGTCACTAAGCAAATATATATTAGAACAATAGAAGTAGCCAATCATGTAAATAGTAAAATCTCCAGAAAGAATGAAAGAAACAGAAAATATGGAAAGGCAATAATAAAAGAGATAGTAGAGAAAAATTATCCTGATTTTGCGCTTTTTCAGTTTACATACCATATTTTTATGGTCATGATATTGTTATTTGATACTTATTTAATACAAGAGAAATAGGTGAATATTTTTGAATTTTGGGAATAAGAAGGTAACTATTAGTGGAATTGAAAAGAATAATAGAACTTCTGAACTAGTAATGAGAAAACAGAAATAAATAGTAACTTTTAACAGCAACCTACTTCCTGCTGACAGGTAACAAAAGAAGAAAAAATTAAATTAAATTAATAACAACAATCAAATAAGAATAAAAGGAAGAAAATCTAAGTGAGATAAGAACTAAAAATATAGTAATAAATTAATATATTTGGAATAAACCAAGTACCTCAGTGGTATGAATTACCCTACTGAAAGACAGAGATAGTCAAAATATAATAAAGAAACAAAAGATAGCTTTCTACTGTTTAAGAGAAACATTCTTAAATCTAAGTGATATAAAAGAACTGGGAAAACACTAAGATAAGCAGAGCAACCTCGTGCAAAAGCAAACAGAAAGCAGATCCGTCTGCTTGTTTCTTTAAGGTTAAACACTTCAAAGAGAGCAAAAGGAGAGGTGTGTAATGATAAAAGGTGAAATTTATGAAGGAGAGTTGTCAGAAATAAATCCAAGTGCAACAAAACCAAAATTATTAGAAATTCAAAAATAACTTGATTAAAAAAATTCATTCTTGCAGGCTATTTTAATAGCACTTTTTCATAGATCTAGCAGGCAACATGTAATCTGATCAACAGAAGTGTGTGTGTGTGTGTCTGTGTGTGTGCATGTGTGTGTGTGTATCCTAAAAATTGGGAATAAACTTTTTCCACATCCAATGAACATTCACAAAAATTATAAAAATCTGATACTTGGCTGAAATGTTTTTAGTAGAGATTTTACAGGTCACATTCTCTGATGAGAATTATATAAAATTTCAGTAAGAGATAGTATATGAAGTCACAGTGAGAGTAAGATAGCAGTAAGAGAAATTTAATATAGTTAAAAGGTGAAATTAATTTTTAAAAACTCAAAAATAGTAGGAAGCACACACAAAATTTCTAAAACAGCTTCTTTGAAAAGAGTAGAGGACAACTAATAAAATGAAAATGTATAGAATCTATAGAAAACTAGCCATGCGCGGTGGCTCACACCTGTAATCCCAGCACTGAGGCAGATGGATCACAAGGTCAGGAGATGGAGACCATCTGGCTAACACGGTGAAACCCCATCTCTACTAAAAATACAAAAAAAATTAGCCAGGTGTGGTGGCGGGTGCCTGTAGTCCCAGCTACTGGGGAAGCTGAGGCAGGAGAATGGCGTGAACCCAAGAGGTGGAGCTTGCAGTGAGCATAGATCGCGCCACTGCACTCCAGCCTGGGTGACAGAGCAAGACTCCATCTGGAAAAAAAAAAAATAATAATCTATAGAAAACCAATTAAAACAAAAAAACAAAAAAATACAATAATGTAATTGAAGTAGTATACAAAAGGATACATAAACACAAATCAAATGAGAATAGAAGGATTCAAAGCAAATATTATGTTCTATTCTACAGGCACAAGTTTGTAAACCAGAAGGAAATGAATAATTTTCTAGCAAACCAAAATTACCAAAATCAAGTCATGAAGTAGAAACATGAACATACCAATTTCCAAGGAAGACATCTGAAATAAATTAATAATCTTTGCCATGGTACCACTCGGAGTAACTTACTTTTTATAAGAGATAAACCCAGAAATCTCAGTGCGTTAGTAAATGGAAGTATATATCTTAGCTACGCTAATTCTAAACAGGTGTGATTAACTTCCCCAAGCAGAGTTTCAGGGCCACTTGCTCTTTCATCTCGTTAACTAAATCTGCCATTCTCTAGGTCCTGGTAGACCTTTGCTACCCTCTGTATTTGGCAGCAAGGCAATGGAAGAAAAGGACATGAAGAATCAGATAGGAGGCTTATTTATGGGCCAGCCTTAAAATTGACTTACGTAAATTCTGCCTACATTTCCTGGGCCAGAACCTAGTCTTGGGCCACATTTAAGGGAGCAGGCAAAGGAAGCTGCAAAATCATCTGTGTGCCAGGGAGAGAAAAGGCTGTAGGGAACAACTAGCAGGTCTCCTAATATATTCTGGTAAAGAAAGTGACTGGGTTCACACCTTCTTATCATTAAATAATTGATAATCCCAGCAATGTGCTGGAGCTTCTTAGAACACTGGATAGGAGCTAATTGTGTCTTTTCCCAACTCCAGGTACAGTGACATTACATAGGTGGCCATGATGAAAGTATTTACACCACAGTAATTGGCATCTACTACAAACTAGGGCAATTCACCAACATCCCCCAGCCTGAGAGCTGGTTATTTGAAACACCATCATACTACTGCATAATTCAAATACTGTTTAAGTTACTCTAAACCATAGTAAAAGTAACTATATAGATCACCATGTCTAACTAATGTAGATTCAAATCTAACTAGAATATTAACAAATCAAAAATCCTCTGGGATTATGCTCCTAAACAAGATCAATTTTCATTTCCTTCCTAGGGAAGAGAAAGTGCTAACTCTCAAGACACAGGACAAAGGAGGAACTATAAAGAGCATCTCAGATAAGCACTTCAGGAAGCAAAGTATCAATTTCAAAGTATTTACACAGACACAAGAACGAAATGTGGAGTGAAGAGTTCAGACAATATGGAGGAACCGGGCATGAGAGAGAAAATAGGAGGTTTATCCAATTACCCACACAGCGGGAGGGAGCCCTTTATCACTTGTCTATTGCTGAACATACCAGTATGGAGGAAGCCCAGCCAACCGATGTCCTCAATAGGCTCTCTCCTAGCAGAAAAGGGATTTCTCTGGTTCACCTGGGAAAGTCGTGAATAACTCCCTGAAGGGTTCCAAACTGTAGATGATAAGTGTCTTTGATGATTTCTCCAAACTTTCCTCCTCCCTCTAGACTGCTTGTAGGAGTTGACCGTGGTGATACTGGCTCCAGTGACTTCTGTCATATTCTACAGTTCACTGTACCTCTAGGCAGTTTCTGGAGCACACTGGGAAATGTAAGGTCTCACTGCATCAGAAATATGGAATTTCAAATTTTCAACTCCATTAATAATGTTATATAAGGCCTTGGCAAAAAAAATAGGGCAGAAAAGAGAAATGCACTTTTTGAAAAGGGGATAAAAATTACCACCATTTGCATTTGATGTAACAGTATACTCTGAAATCCCAAGAATATTAATTGAAAAAGTGTTTTTAAAAACTAAATACTTTTTCGAGACCATCCTGCCTAACACGGAGAAACCCCGTCTCTACCAAAAATAAAAAAAATTAGCCGGGCTTTGTGGTGGGCGCCTGTAGTCCCAGATACTTGGGAGGCTGAGGCAGGAGAATGGCATGAACCCGGGAGGCGGAGCTTGCAGTGAGCCGAGATGGTGCCACTGCACTCCAGCCTGGGTGAAAGAGCAAGACTCGGTCTCAAAAAAAAAAAAAAAAAAAAAAAAGCTAAATACTTTATAAAACAAAATAGAAAATCTAGGGTAAGAGAAAGAAGTTTTATACAACAAAATCAAGCAAGACAGAAGAAAAATGAAATGAGAAAACAATTAAGACAGTGCCATATCATGAAAACCAAAAAAATCTTTGAAGGGAAGCCATAAGTAGTATTAGAGTCTATAAAAAAATCATGAGAACAGTAACTATGGGTGATGCCACCTATCTGTTACCTCAGGTGCCATAAAACTCCTAGATGTGAAAGACTTGCTGTCTTCTCGCCAATCCTCCAAGACCTCAGGGCCCCTCCAGTGATGACTTAAATGTTAGATAAAGGCAAACAGTCATGCTCCTCTTGTAAAATCAGGAAACAGACGTCCTACTTTTACATAACATCACTGAAAAAAACTCTCATTTTGCAGGTCATATACACCAATGATGGATAAGACATTTGCCAAAGTCTAGGGAATTATGGCACTAAAGTGCTGATTCTTCCAGTTGAGGAGAAATAATTTGACGCCTCAGGAGCAGCATACTTGTTCCACAATCTAAGCCATTCAAGCACATTTCAAAACATCTCAGTCAGCAATATGCACACTGAATACCCCTCTCCACATCGTAAGAGTTATTTCTCCTCTCTGATGTGGCCTTGCAGATATACTCTGTGGTATCACTGTTAAGCTTTCCATTTATTTTTCCACATTCATCTACCAAGAAAAAATTACTCTTTGCTTGCCTGTCCAAATTTATCTGAGAACACTTTTAACAGCTCTCAAAATTGTAGAAAGATTACTTCATAATACAGCCACAAAATAGACTGGCCATCTAGAGGAGAGAAGCAATACCAAATACCAATTTTGCCCAGAATATTTTCTATTTTAGGCTTATAAAGGAGCATCTTACTAATTTAGGTTATAATAAATGCCGCCATTTATAAATATCTTTGTTTTGAGATCCCCTGAAACACTATTTTAAATATAACATTTCAGCATGTTTGATCAAGTTATTTTGTGTGTCCATATTCTCAACTACATGATTTTAATATTCTCTTTCAAAGAAGACCTATAGGAATGCTACCATACCATGTCAATTCAATTTTGAACAACTCATAAAATATAAACCAACATCTGGTATCAAAACATCACTTTCCAATATTCTGAGCATTAAACAAATGAATTAAATTACGGTTATGATCACAAAAACAGTGCTGCCTAAGCATATCATTTTATTAGATAACTCTAAGCAGGGAGTTAAAGTGATATGTTCCGTTTTGGGGATCCACAGCGAAAGGTACATTGGTTGTAAAATTGTATTTTGAGAAAGGATGGATATGGGGAAAAGCTCTATGTAATAATGAGAAATTATTTATCATCAACCATTTTAATTAAATTTTATTTTTGTCTACATGTACCATGTTTAAAATGTAAAACATCTACATGACTCAGAAGTCAAGGCTTTATATTTACAAAAGGTATATTCTGAGAAGTCATCCCTTTGTCTACTCTCCCACCCAGTTGTCACTCTAAAGGTAGTAACTATTTTAACATACAGTTTACCAATCCTTTATTTCATTCTTGTAAAAATAGTCATATAAATGTATAAACATATATATGACACTTTGTTACACAAACTGTAGTGTACTCTGTCTACCATTTTGCCCCTTGAATTTTTTCACTTAATAAATATTGAAAATTATTCCATATTAGGTCATAGAGATTTTCATTTATCTCTTTGTTTTTGTTTGTTTGTTTGTTTGTTTGTTTTGCATGGCTTATAGTACATTGTGTGGAGGTACCACGGTCTAGTTCATCAATTTCCTAAACATGGGCATTTAGGTTTTTCCAAATATTTTGTTATTGGAAATGTCTCTGCTATGTATGTTATTTTGTATTTTGGGGGGTGTTTCCTGAGGGTAAATTTCTAAAGTAGGGTTAGTAAGTCAAGAAGTAAATACATAGTTTTGAGATATGGTAATATTCAACTCTCCAACTAGAAAGTATTCTTGTAAAACAAATGAACAAACAAATGAGGAAATCTAATTGCCTCAGATATAACTACTAGTTTACACAATATACACAGAACGGAGGAGCATTTTAATGACATCATGGTAATGCAATTATGAAAATCCAAAATGCAGACACTTGAACAAATAATCTGGTTTCCCCAACAAATAAATTGCTAGAAAAACAAAGTGAGTGCTGGGAGGGAACCTACAGAATACAAACGACTTAGACATACAAACTAAATTTAATGTGTAAATCTTGTTTGGATCCTGTATCAAACAAACTGACTGGAAACACACACACTTCTGTGTTTATGTATAAATATATCTAATGTATAGTACAAACATATTTTATATCATACATAAATGAACATATAAAATACAGTTAGAAACAACAGATGCTGGAGAGGATGTGGAGAAATAGGGGCGCTTTTACACTGTTGGTGGAAGTGTAAATTAGTTCAACCATTGTGGAAGACAGTGTGGAGATTCCTCAAGGATCTAGAACCAGAAATACCATTTGACCCAGCAATCCCGTTACTGGATATATACCCGAAAGATTATAAATCATTCTACTATAAAGACATATGGATATGTATGTTTATTGTGTCACTGTTCACAATAGCAAAGACTTGGAACTAACCCAAATGCCCATCGATGATAGACTGGATAAAAAAAATGTGGCACATATACACCATGGAATACTATGCAGTCATAAAAACGGGTGAGTTCATGTCCTTTGCAGGGATATGGATGATGCTGGAAACCATCGTTCTCAGCAAACTAACACAAGAACAGAAAACCAAACACCGCATGTTCTCAATCATAAGTGGGAGTTGATCAATGAGAACACATGGACACAGGGAGGGGAACATCACACACTGGGGCCTGTCGGGAGGTGTGGGGCTAGGAGAGGGATAGCATTAGGATAAATACCTAATGTAGGTGACGGGTTCATGGGTGCAGCAAACCACCATGGCACGTGTATACCTATGTAACAAACTTGCACATTCTGCACATGTACCCCAGAACTTAAAGTATAATAAAAAAAATGCAATTGGAGAAATCTGAACTCTGGATATTTGATGATATTAAGAATTTAATGTTAATTTGATGATATTGATGAATAATTATTCATTGTTAATGGTGATACTTATTACAAGCATACCTTGGAGATACTGAGGGTTTGGTTCCTGTCCACTGCAATAAAGTGAATATCACAATAAAACAACTCCTTAATCCATGGGATTCACAGTGATGTTGTATTGGCTGATACGAAAACACCAATAATCTACTTGTACATTTCCATCAGAGCTCTTGGGTGACCAGTTGCATTGTCAATGAGCAATAATATTTTAAAAGAATTTTTTTTTCCAAGTAGTAGGTCTCAACAATTGACTTAAAATATTCAGTAAACCATGCTGTAAACAGATATGCTGTCATCAGGCTTTGCTGCTTACCTCATAGAGTACAGGCAGAGTAGATTTAGCACAATTCTTAAGGGTCCTATGATTTTCAGGACAGTAAATGAGCTTGGCTTCAACATAAAGTCACCAGATGCATTAGTCAGCCTGTCCTTTGAAGCTTTGAAGACAGGTATTAACTTCTCCTCTCTAGCTATGAAAGTTGTAGACAGCATCTCCTTCAATTAAAAGGCTCTTCTACATTGAAAATCCATTATTTAGTGTAGCCACGGTCATCGATGATCTTAGCTAGATCTTCTGGATAACTTACTGCAGCTTCTCCATCAGCACTTGCTGCTCCACTTGAACTTTAAAATTTTTTTTTTGATTTCCATAGGTTTTTGGGTAACAGGTGGTACTTGGTTACATTAGTTAGTTCTTTAGTGGTGATTTGTGAGATTTTGGTGCACTCATCACCTGAGCAGTATACATTGAACCCAATTTGTAGTCTTTTATTTCTCACATCCCTTACACCCTTTCCCCTGAGGCCCCGAAGTCCATTGTATCATTCTTATGCCTTTGCATCCTCATAGCTTAGCTCCCACTTATGAATGAGAACATATGATGCTTGGTTTTCCATTTCTGAGTTACTTCACTTAGAAAAACAGTCTCTGGTTCCATCCAGGTTGCTGCAAATGCCATTAATTCATTCCTTTTTATTGCTAAGTAGCATGCCATCATATATATATATATACACACACACACCACAATTTCTTCATCCACTCATTGATTGATGAGCATTTGGGCTGGTTCCATATTTCTGCAAATGCAAATTGTGCTGCTATAAACATGCAAGTGCAAGAATCTTTTTCGTATAATGACTTATTTTTCTCTGGGTAAATACCCAGAAGTGGTATTGCTGGATCAGATGGTAGATCTACTTTTAGTTTTTAAAGGAATTTCCACACTGTTCTCCATAGTGGTTGTACTAAATTCCCACCAGCAGTATAGAAGTGTTCCCTGTTCACCACGTTCATGCACACGTCTATTATTTTTTGATTTTTTGATTATGGCCATTCTTGCAGGAGTAAGGTGGTATCGTACTGTGGTTTTGATTTGCATGTCCCCAATCATTAGTGATGTTGAGCATTTTTTCATATGT